CGGATCCCACATACAGATTGGTTCCCGCTCACTGGCTGAGCGAGGGGCGGGCGCAGCGCCGAGGGTTGCGATCCTGTTGCCGGTCCCGGTCCAGTACGGGCACGACACTGAGGGTTGCGGTCCATTGCCGGACACGAAAAAAGACAAAAAGGAAAAAAAAAAAAAATTCTCATTTTTCCTTCATATGGTAAAACTAAAGCTTATTACTTGTACCTGAGTTTCTAGTTACTTCCCACAAGCAATTCTGATTAAAAGTCTACGTTTATTATAAATGAAGAGGTTCTCTAAACCAAAACAGATAGTCAGATATTCCAAACAAACTTTGCCTAATAAATTTATTTATTTTTATTTATTTATTTTTTTTTAAAAGATGACCGGTAAGGGGATCTCAACCCTTGGCTTGGTGTTGTCAGCACCACGCTCAGCCAGTGAGCAAACAGGCCATCCCTATATGGGATCCGAACCCATGGCCTTGGTGTTATCAGCACCTCACTCTACCGAGTGAGCCACAGGCCGGCCTGCCTAATAAATTTAGAACTTGAATTTTAAAACTACTTTAGAGAATAAATTTACTACGCTATACCACAAAACTTTCAAGGGTGTCAATTCTGAATATAAGGTTTGAAATCTCTTGGACCTTTTACTATACACTCATACAACATATAAATTTATAAAATATTATCACTGATAAACCACATATTGTCCAGCTTAAGAAATGGCATCACATACAGCTCCTGAAATATCACAATTCCGCCAAGTATAGATTTTCAAAAATTTTCATTTTAGATATGAGGTAATTTCTCCACATCCTGCCCTCACATAACAGGACAGAGGAATTTAAATCCTTTAAGACTGAAAAACAAGTATGCCCGTCTTCATTAAAAAAGATTAAAGAAAAAAATCATCATGTCTTCTTGATAATTCGTAAGTAGTTCCTAAATCTTCCTTTTATTCTACTGTATTTAAAAACTCTTCTTCTTGAAGTTTCAATTTAAAGTCCTCTCTGATTCTTTCCAGCAAGTCTGGTTTAAAAATAACATCCAATGCAGTCATTGCCAGAGCTTTGGCTGTACGCAAAGTGTAGAACTGAGCTTCTTGTGATCCTAAAAAGTAGAGAGAATAATAAATAAAAATACCTCCATATTTATTAAAAATTAATTTATTAATTTCTCAAGTTAGCTCTTAATATCTACATTCTCTCTCCAACTCCCCAACACACAATGTAATATTTTCTGATGTGATATTAGGTAGTAAAATAACAGGCTAAACTAAACTGTTAGAAAGGCAGCTCTTACTAGGAAAAGAGAAAGCACGCAGGCCAAAACGCTCACCTCCAGAACACTTACCCACAGCCTCAGTGTATTGTTCAGTATGATTCAAGGCATTGGATCCAATGTAAAAATATGGATGAAGTCCAGGAACCACAAAAGTAACATTTCCAAAATCAGTAGATCCTTGGAACACACAAAGAAAAGTATAATTGGTTAAAAATTTTTGAGTTATGAAGTTATATGCAGAATCCTGTACTTGGCTAGTTTCATACACTGTTGAAGAGATCTAGAGAAGTGAACTTCCTGGAGAGTTGTCCATATATATACTCATGCTTTCAGCACCTCACCTTCCACTGAGTCCTCAATCCACTCCAGTTTGCTTCCACCTCCTCGGTCACCATAGCAGCTCTCACAAAGGTCCCGAAGACTTGCCCTGGCCCAATGCCATGGCTACTTTTACTTGCCATCTTGGCAGCATTTCACACTGTCACCTACTCCCTTTCTTCCCTCTGTGACAGCACTAGCTTGGTGTCCTTTCTGCCTCTCTGATGGCACCTTCTTCTGTCTCCCTGGGGGTACAGCCTCCTCTATCTGACCACAAAATATTAGTTACTCAAGACTCAATACCAGGCCCTTTCTTCTTCTCACTCCGTACTCTTAAGATTTTGTCCATATGTATTGCTTCAAATTACCACCAACTCAAATTTATTCCCAGCTCCATACTCATACATCCCATTGCCAGCCTGATATCTGCTCTTGGATGTCTTCAAGGTAGATCAAACTTAACATATGCAAAGTCAAATTCAGATCTTCCTGTTCTTCTACCGCCACCTCACTTGTCATCAATACCTCCAAAATATCTCAGAATCATAACTTTTCACATTACCATCACCAACACCTCTTCCCAATCAGTCTATGCTATCATGATCTCTTGCCTGAACTCATACACTAGTCTCCTAATTGGTCTAGCAACATACTCTATTTGCCAATATTTTTTCAGTCTTAACATGATCTGACTCCATAAGCTTTTTCAACCTCATCTCACACTGCTCTCTCACTTATCCTATATACCCCAGCCACCCTGGACACTTCACCATGCTGTCCCTCACCTCAGGGCATTTGTACATGCTGTCCCCGCTTTGCCTACTTAACTCCTACTTTACCCTTCAGACAAGGGAAGCTTTACTTCGCTCCCCTGTCAAGATCTACGTCCTCTAGCATAGGCTCTCACAGAATTGTATTACTCTCCTTCACTGCACTTTTCAGCTTAGTTTTCCATTTATTGGATTATTTGGTTAGTATTTATCTCGCAAACTGGATTAGGAAGCTCTATAAGACAAGAAATGGTATTTTAAATCACTTTGCATCTAGCCTTGTCACAGAATCAACACACTAACATTTACTAATTAAACCATACTAAAATCAAAGCCTGGGCTGGCCCGGTGGCGCACTGCTACAGTGCGCTGCTTGGGAGTGCGGTGGCGCTCCCGCCGAGGGTTCGGATCCCACATACAGACCGGTTCCCGCTCACTGGTCCAGTACGGGCGCGACACTGAGGGTTGCGATCCGTTGCCGGACACAAAAAAAGACAAAAAAAAAGGAAAAAAATAAAAATAAAATCAAAGCCTTATGTTCATTCAATGGATATTTACTGAATGCTTATTATATGTCAAACATCATGCCAGGTAAAGTTAGAACATACAAGAATGAGTGTTAAGGAAATAAAAGAAGCAAAATCTGAAACAAACAGCAGCTAACATGTATCTGGAATTACCATGTTCCAAAGATAATCTAAGTGCTTCACATGTATTCTCATTAACACTTTGAACAGTTCCCATTTTATATATGAAGAAACCAAAGCTTACAGATATTAAATAACATGCTCATCATCTCATTGCTACGAGTTATGTGGCAAAATGTGACCATTTGTCTTCCCTCCTATAGCAAGATGGCAGACACTTGCTAGGGTAAAAGTACAGGACCATGAAAACTGCCTTGACAATAAACTCATGGTCTTCGATGCCGAGCTGAGCTCTCAATGCTGTTCAGAAAACACACACACTCTCTGTGATGTCCCTGGCCAACACTTCTCAGTGGCAATTTATCTTCCCTCCAGCCTATCACCCTCAATGTTCACCATGTTCTACTAACAACTTCCTAGGGAGGAAGTCTCTGAATTCCCTGCCCTCCTCCCTGAACACTTACCTGCATCTACTTCTTGAAAGTATCTTCCTTTAAAAAATCTCTTCTTTTCCATATCTCCCACAAGCTTGTATCTACTTTATTTCCTTTTAAAGTTAACTTTCTTGAAAAAGAAGTCTTCCTTTGCTACATCCACTATCCCATCAGTCAATGCAGTGATTAAAGAAGTGAGATCCAAATCTGGTCCACCAGCCTTCAACTAGTTTCTTCCAGACAATGCATGAACTTCTGATCATTAGTCCAATGGACACCAGACCATACTTATCTTATTCAGTCTCTACAGCACCTGAAATGATTTACTCCTCCCTTCCTTCTAGAAGTTCTGTCCTCCCTTGGCTCCCATGACTCTACTTTCCTGATTGTCTGGCTTTCTCTCTGACCACTCTGTCTCCTCCTCTAGATTCCTTTCTTTGTCTATCTCTTAAATGCTGGTAAATCCCAGAGTTTCCATCTTTGAGTGCCTTTTCCCTCTATGTACCTGGACAACCTCACCAATACCTGTGTCTTCAGTTACCTCCCCTATAACGATAACTCCTAAATCTCCAACCTAGACATCTTTTGGGGTTCCAGATTCAACAGGCTACTGAACAGCTCTGCTTAGAAACCCTATAAGCACCTTAAATTTAACACGCTAATAATTTATATCAACCCACCTTACCCCAACCTGTTCTTTCTCTCAAACTCAATGAATGACATCAACACCCCATTTTTATCACCAAGTCCTTTTGGTTTTACTTCATCAACATCTGTTATATTTTAGGAGATACATCTCTTAACTTGCAAACGTATTATAATAGTATGCTTTTAAAAGGAAAAAAATATATAAAATAACCCCAAATATACTTATGATTATTTAAATTCTAATAGTTGTATGTTATTCCTCAGAAACTGAAAATGCCCCAGACAACTAAGTACTTAGTAACCTGCTTATTGTGGTAACTGAGAATGAATTAAAATTCTATTTCCCATTTTAGTAGCTTACTTAAATATTAGAACTAAGCAAATTTAATCACTAGAAATATTTAGAATACAGGCCAAAAAGTAGGTTGGCTATTTCTAAAAATAGTCTGCTCATTTGACATTCTACACTCACTGAAGAGGCCATTAATTTCTCTTCCCTAACCATTAAGTTTGTGAAAATATCATTAAAAATATCAGCAGTACCTCCCTACCTCCCAAACCATTAAACAAAACCATTTAACCCAAAGATGGTATTTCTCTTCCTCAAATAGCACAATATATAATAATTACCTGAAGGGCTATTCAACATTGTATCTTCTGAAATAAATTCTATTCCCAGCTGTTTTCCATTTTCCATATAAGCTTTCCAAAGACTCTTATTGGGAAGAACATTGTAATAATCATGTGCTCCAGCTTTAATTTCTACCTAATAAAAAAACATAAGTATACCACTTAGTTGGCCACGCTGATGAATTTGGCCTACAGAGATTGGGAACAAATCTATTCAATTTGTTTCATACAGCATTCAATAAAGGGTTCTATTAACTGGATTTGAAGCAGAAGGATGAGGCCAACCAGAAGTATCTACAGACCTTATCCATGCCCCATAGGGTCCCAGTCTCAGGCAACTGCAACTAAGTCCCTGGGATCAGTATGTCTTATCTCAGACAGCCAGGAGGTAGTATAAGTCTAGTCTATTAACCTCCATTAGTACCTGTGCAAGGAGTTCAGATGATCTTTGCTATCACTGCCCAAAACTATGGGGAGTTGCCAATAAAACAACCCTCCTTCATGATGGAGAGACATTCCATGGCCGGCTTTCCCTTACATATAAACACAGGTCACCATAATCAGGGATGTGCTGTGAAACTTTATTTGGGTCACTAACACCTTGTTTTGTTAAAGCCACATGAGCAGTGTCACCAAGGACAGTTGACCCTTAAACGATGTGGGTTGAACTGCATGGGTCCACTTATATGCAATTTTTTTTCAATAAATATATTGGAGAGGTTTCCAGATTAAGTTGGTGGAATAAACAGTCCCCAGTGTCACTCTCCCCAACAATCGTCCAATTTACAACTATTAAAAAAGTAACAACTGCCAATCTGGGGTTGTTAGAGCTCAGGGGAAGAGGAGGAGAGACCTATGGAGTTTGTGAAGGTGGCAGAAGCTGTGATGAGAGAAGGAAGGGACCACTTCGACCATTTGAGCCCTGGCCGTTTCAAGGCTGACCCTGGTGAGCACATGGAGCGAGAGCTGGCAAAAGCTGCAGCTGTGACCTTCGTATGAACTTGCTTGGAGGCTGTAGGGGAAAAGAGAGCCTTGGTGGCCCCTAGGCCAGCAAGATTACTAAGAGTTCCCATGGGCCCACACAGAAGCAAGGTGTCACAGACTACTGAAAAAGGAGCCAATCAGAGGCTGGTGAGTCATCACAAGAGACCAGAATATGGCCTGTCCCATGGGAAGTGTTTGAAGTGGGGGTGGTGGGGGAGACGGGCCATCAGGGGAACGTTGGGGCACAGCATGGACAGCTGAACGGCCTTCCATTCAGCACAGGCCCACTCACTGGAGACTGATCAGGAGTATAGAACTGCAGGGGTGTAGTTTGTCCAGTCCAGAGTTTCCAAACAACCCAGGTATACTGGATCTCACAAAATCCAGAAGTGCTTACAAAGTCAACAACTAAAATGAGAGCTGCACAAAAAGCCCTCCCCAGTGAATCAGCAGCAAAACAGCAATTTAGATCAACCACAGGGCTCAAGGGTTGGTTCCCACAGGAAGTCCCCTCATTTTAGAAGTAACCGAAGGACAACAGATTAGTTCCAGTGTGGAGTTTAAGTGGTGGAAACAGAAAATAATCCAACACAGAACTGAAAGAAAAGACAAAATATCTACAGATCAGAGACAAAGTATGATGTTAACCAGTAAAGGTCTAACACCACCAAAGAACACCTGTAAAACCTAGAAGGACTCAAGCACCATGGGCTCCCAAACCAGGGAGAGGAGAGGGCTCTGGGCCTCAGACAAGCTGCCCCAATGACCACAACCAACAATCAGTCCAGCGATGACCACTGAGCTACCACAGGAAGCGCCCTGGGTTCCCAATTTGGGGCTGTTGGGAGCCAAGAACCTCAGTCACGACCCCTGACACCCACAACCAGCCCAGCCATGACCACCAAGCTGTTGCCAGAAGTGACCTGTATTCTCAAGGTGGGGTGGTAGGGGGCTGAGAACCTCAGCCATGCTCCACTGATGTCCACATGATGTCCAGTGATGACCATCGAGCCGCTACAGGAAACGCCCTGGGCTCTCAAGCTGAGGCAGTGGGGGGCTGAGGGCCTCAGCCACGCCTCCCCCCCAATATCCACCACCAGCCCAGAGATGACCACTGAACCACTGGAAACACCCCAGGCTCCCGAGCCAGTGTGGTAGGGGGACGAGGGCTGCAGGCATGGCCTCTGACATTTACATCCAGCCCAGCAATGACAGAGCCTCCACTGGAAGTCTTCTGGTCTCTCCTGCTGGAATGAGGGGGGTGCCATGGGCCTCGACCACATCCCCCTCCTTCCTCCTCCCATTTTATTTCCCTCCCACTTCCCCCCTCCCCCACAACTGCTCTGCAACATCTTAGAATGTAAAATATATATTAATAAACAAATAAATAAATAATACAACAAAACAAAGACTCAAGAGTCACTAATTTTCAAATCATTGATAGTTCTCTAACAGGAAAAGTTTTAAGAGAGGGCACTTTCCCTTCCAGATATATACTCTCAAATCTTACGTATTTTCTATATTACATATTTTCTATATTGAGATTTCCTAGGACCCCATCTCCCAATGTTACACATTCACCAAACCATACAATGTCACCAAGCTCTACACTAGTCAGGAAGTGTCAATTTCAGTCATCTGAGTGTGGGAGAGCCCAAAACTTCCATTTTAACCAGCACCCCCAAGTAATTCTGATGCAGGTGGTCCAAAAATCACACTCTGAGAACACTACTCTAGGATTCAATCTCCAAAAGAAAGAAATTAAATTACTAACATTCAGTATACAAACTGACTGGTATACAAACTGACCCATTGCCTGGTCTGAAAGGTATAAAGGTACCCCGAGAGAAATACAGAAGATTCACAATGAGGAAGGCTTGACAATGGTCCTCATTTATTAATTTCAGTGTATGAAGATACAGAAGCAGTTTATGTGCCCAGTTAAGTAGACTTAACAGATTTCATTTTGATTAAATCAAAATGGGCAATATTCCCTCAAACTAAAGATAATACCAATAATGTTAGCAAAAAACCAATCATAAAATGGTAGAGATGACATTTCTTCTATTCTTGTCCACATCTAAGGTAGAATATATGACAATCTAATCAGATCTTACAAATCAGCCAAAATTTAATAAATTATTAAAAGACTATTTTAAAAATATAGATTTAAATCTAATTACAATGAATCTTACCCTAAGGAATATTGTACACCTTGAGATATTAGCTAATGATAACAGTGTATTATGTATTTTATCAGTAAATATTTTAAATATTTATAAATAAATAAGTTAATAAATGCTTACTTTTTTACTGTCCTAGGCTGTGGATGCTTTACTGTTCTCTTACATTAAACCAATACCTATCCTCTCTAGTGGCACATGAAGTTATGTCCTTGCTCCTAACATTTGCCCATACAAGGGTACTTCAAAAAGTTCATGGAAAAATAGAATTAAAAGATAATGCAAATCTTTCCATGAACTTTTTGAAATACCCTCGTATACCTATCTATTCACTACATCACAACATGAGCTTTTACATTCTTACCTTTGCTGACTACACTTCCTGTCTAGGAGCTCTCACTCTCTCTCCTTCACATATCTAAAAGTACAATCATCCTTCAAAGCTCAATTCAGATCTACAGTCTTCCATGAAATCTTCTTAACAGCCTCAGACCACCTCTTTCCTGCTTCAGATCCCTCATGACACTTACCATCCACACTACTCTTAGGACACTAGGCATAAACTGAGAATCACTGCTGCTGGGAGACACTGCTACTACGTGAATAAATTATACATCTCTAGACTACTAAGAACAGGAAAAAAATAAGGTGATATATATGAAGGCTAGGCTCCAAACTCTTCAAAAACATTATTTCATTTAATTCTCACAAGAATTTAATTAATAAATCTCATTTAATACTAACATAGATTATGTTATTATCCCCATTTTTCAAGTGAGAAAACAGAGTCCCAGAGATATTTAATAACATTTCTAAAGGTTAAGAAATTAGCGAGGCTGAGAAGCACAGGTCAATATCTTGTCTCTCCAACTAGACCATGGGCTCCTGCAGGTCAAGATTCATATTTTACATAATTCTAAAACTCATACCACTTTACAGCATACATGATTGGTATTAAATGTTACTGACTTTAGAATTCAAGTCAACAAAACCTCTTGACTAACTTATGTGTCTATTTTAACTTCCATTCCAGCAAGCCTTAAGTATTTATATCACTACTACACATATCTATAACACCAAAAATAGCTTTTGCTGATTGCCATAAAATTCCCTTTATAAGAACTATACAGAATAATTCTAAAAGCATAACTGCCAATAAGGAAGGATATAATTTGCAAAAAGACAGGGATTCTAGCACAGCAGTATGAGAATTATTCTAATGACTAAGTAAGATGACTTATAGTCTTCCCTATTGCAGGCACTGAGTAAAATATATAAGAATTAAAGGCTTTCACATTAACTATTCGGCCAACTCATTTTGCATATTCAAAATGAATATCACCAAATGAAAAAGAGGCAAGTTAAGTTTTAATCTAAATTAATATAGACAGCCCCAGCCCACATATATACCTCTGATTGTAACTTAGATTAATTCTTAAAAATTCTTACTGTGCACCCTGTAGACATAGCTGCAGCTCTGAAGCAATCTTCTGCCTTTTTAGTCAAAACTTGAAGTTCTTTCATTGAGGGTGCACGGAAGTAATAGATTAATTCAGAATAACAGGGAATGATATTGGGTTTTACACCACCATTTTTTATTATACCTATAAAAAGAACCAAATTACTGGAATTAAGCTTGGTGACCATTTCTTTAAGCTTAAATACACCCATAAAGTTTTTCAGCCAATATGTATATAACGAAAAACAATTTAAACTTACTAGTTTCACAGATATACCAATCAAAGACTTTGATGTGTTGTACAAACATAAGTTTCTATATATAGGGTGTTATTTTCTGGCTAACAGGAAAAAAATTGACTACATGCATTTTACGGAATTTATATAATGTTTAGAAATTATGATCCAGACTATAAAGAAACTGTTGGAAATTATACAACAACAAAAAGTAAACTTAGCAATATCTTAAGCTTTCTGGAAGACTTTTTCAGTAGGCTTTATTACAGTTGTACATTTTGATAAACATCCCACATAAAAAAAGGAAAAACAATGGTATGAGGTTCTGTAATTACTCTTGTACCTCAAGAAATCCATGAATAGGGCCGGCCCGTGGCTCACTCGGGAGAGTGCGGTGCTGATAACACCAAGGCCCCGGGTTCGGATCCCACATAGGGATGGCCGGTTCGCTCACTGGGTGAGCGTGGTGCTGACAACACCAAGTCAAGGGTTAAGATCCCCTTACCGGTCATCTTTTAAAAAAAAAAAAAAAAAAAAAGAAATCCATGAATATTTGAAATGCGAAAATAATTTTCATGCCAAGAAGAAACCAATGCAAGCTAAAGTTCATTAAGTACTATCAACTTTTAAAACAAATTCATTTATTTGGAACTACACAGAACGAAGATTTATCAATTCAAAGTAATAACTAAAATAAATATGCAAAATCTAATTTATATGGCTTACTTTAAAAAAAATTTCTACATATTCTGTTAAAGTTCACTAAGTACTATCAACTTTTAAAACAAATGCATTTATTTGGAACTACACAGAATGAAGATTTATCAATTCAAAGTAATAACTAAAATAAATATGCAAAATCTAATTTATATGGCTTACTTTAAAAAAAAATTTCTACATATTCTATTTGTTCCCTTTAAAGAAACTAAGGCAGGAAGCTGGTAAAAGTACAATTTACACATTAACTTCAGCCTGTGACAAAATCAGGTAAGGAATAGATATTACAATAAAACAATTTCCTAAATCATAAAGAAATAAACTAAAAAATACATTTGTACCTTCAAAATAGTACTTTATTACTGTATTTATATTATGGTGATACACATAATTTTATTTTATTTTATTTTTTTCCTTTTTGTCTTTTTTCGTGACCGGCAACAGATCGCAACCCTCAGTGTTGCGCCCGTACCGGACCGGGACCGGCAACGGGATCGCAACCCTCGGTGGTTCGCCCGCACCTCGCTCAGCCAGTGAGCGGCCGGTCTGTATGTGGGATCCGAACCCTTGGCAGGAGCGCCGCCGCACTCCCAAGCGGCGCACTGTAGCAGTGCGCCACCGGGTCGGCCCTACACATAATTTTAAAAGACATTACTCAGGATTAACAGCACTTGAGTAAGTAAAACTAATAATCATTACACCTTTTTATAAACTGAGGAAATGACAAAATTCTGTTATCATTAGGAGAGAGTGAAGATAACTGGAAAATCGGGTTCCAACTTTCAAATACACACAGAAAGAATGTAGCTCCTTACATAAAACCCTTATCTCTGTTACTCAAAGATGACTATCCCATTTATGTACAATAATCATCACCACCTTCCTACCCACAAACATCCTAGTATGTTATCACATGAATTTCTGCAAATATCTAAAAATTTTAGAATACGCATGACTAGATAAAATGTTTCCAAATGTTTTTAAAAAATCAAATATTAAGTAATTATATTGCAGTTAAATATATTAAGAACCATCTATTATACAAAGTGTCTAACATTCATACCATGAGCTCTCCAGTGTGGTTTCATTTGCTGTCTTAACACAGACAGATTGTTGTAGGCAAGAACAGCAGCATCTAATGCATTTACTCCTTCCCAGGGATAAGCAGCAGCATGAGATGCTTTTCCATAGTATTTCACAGTCATACTACAAAATAAAAAATTATTTGAAATGACTTTTTTTCCAATACTGCTAAGGTAAGATAATCCAAGGAGTTAGAATTACCCAACTATTACTTAAAATTAATTCACACCGCTGGAATTTTGATTTGCAAATCATTTGTAGTAGTAACTCTGTAATTTACTTACATTAGTTACAGCTTATTATTATGAAGCACAGTGCCTGACACAGAGAAGGCATTCCAAACAGAGAGAAAAAGAAAACTGCTCAACCAACCTCCTGCACAGACTAAATCTGTACATAATTCAATTCAAACAAACATGCAATACTGCATTAGGTGCTGGAATTACAAAAAAAAAAAAGGGATTCTGTCTCCCTTGACCCTGCCTTGTGATAGTTCTACATCAAAGGTCTGCAAAAATTCAAATAATTCCTTCTTAAGGGGAAGGTCAAGGAAACACAAGAAGGTAACATTTGAAATGGGTTAAGATAACCTGACGATCAGATTATACTCACAATTTTATCATAAGATACCCTAGCAGTAAGTCTGTTGGTTCCTGATCAATATTTTATTAATGTTTTAAAATACCTATGTCACTAATATTTTTAAAGTTTATAAATTATTGTTACTCTACTTACAAACAGTTCTCATACCAGTCTAACTACTTGGATTCAAAAGAAAAAAAAACCAATACATTTAGAAAAAGGATTATGTGTTACTTATAAAGCTCCATGATTGACTTGCTTAGGTAACACTTTTTTTTAAAGCCTGATTAATAGTTTCCACATTCAGATTATTAAAAAACCACTCTGTACTTTTTTTTTAATGGGCTAAATTCAGGAGTCTTTAGAATGCTCATGATATTTCTTGACTGATTACAACATTGATGGCAGAACAAAAACAAGTAAAAGCATCCAAACCTATTTACAAAATTTTAGGATACCTGTTATCTTCTCTCTATATATCTTATCACCATCACTTTGAAAGTGGAATTTTACCAAAAGTGGTGATAAACAGACTTGATCACACCTGCCTCAGTACTGGACAGATCTAGGCAACAAAACCACAGAGGAACAATTAACCTATTAGATGGAGAGAACAAATCTATGGTTATTAAAAGGGGGAAGGGGAGAGGAACAGGGGAGGGGGGAAACTGGATAGGAGGCATAAAGAATAAGCATGATTTGTAACAACAAATATGCTAATAAAAAATAATTTTTTTTTCCTTTTTGTTTTTTTTCGTGACCGGCAACGGATCGCAACCCTCAGTGTCGCGCCCGTACCGGACTTGGACCGGCACCGGCCACAGGATCGCAACCCTCAGTGTCGCGCCCGTACCGGACTTGGACCGGCACCGGCCACAGGATCGCAACCCTCGGTGTTGCTCCCGCCCCTCGCTCAGCCAGTGAGCGGCCGGTCTGCATGTGGGATCCGAACCCTCGGCGGGAGCGCCACCGCGCTTCCCAAGCGGCGCACTACAGCAGTGCGCCACCGGGCTGGCCCTAAAAAATAAATTTTTTAAAAAGTGGTGATAAATATTATAAAAAGGAAAAGGATGTCCTTTATGAAAATGGCTCCAGTACCATTTCTTCCAGGGTTCAAATCTATGTACAATTAAACCACAATAAACTACAGGAAAAGAAATGTTATGGTTGCTTTATATCAGCGTTAGTATTAAGGCTTAAAAAGCATATTTTAGACAAACTGATATGGAATTATTTTAAAGGCATATTGTTTTTAATTTAAAAGTGCAAGAACCAGAACAGTAATATATTGAGCTGAATATTCAGGGAGGAAAACCTTCCCTCAAGATTTAAATTTACACATGTACCTATTTATGTCCTATAAATACACTAAAAAAAGTCCTGAAAAAATACATACCTCTAGAGAAGGGACTATATTTGGGAAAGGTGGTGAATAGGGACAACTTGCTTTATCTTATTCATTGTCAGAAGTTTTCAGGATAAATGGATTAGTAATTTTTTAAAAATTAAATCCTGATCTTGTTCCCTTTTCCATCTTAAAAGATGACCAATGAGAAACCTAAGAAGCCAGACACTAAAAAGACTGAGGCCAAGTGGGCTGACATAAGAATCGCGACCAAAAAGCCTAACTTAAGTCCAAGTAGGCTAATGGGCTGGGAAGCCTGCCTACAGCTGCAGGCCCCTTCCAGCCAAAGGCATTGGCAGAAATTCCTAATGCCTAATGTATTCCAGAAGCAAAAGTTGAAAGATTCTTCCTACTATCACAGTATCAATTCCCAGTGATAAGAACAAAGATACCATAACAATTAAAATGATCACCCTCTAAAAACAAGGCCTGGTAGGGCACTGAGAGGTGAGATACCTGGTTACTACTATGGTTGAAATTCCTGGTGTAAAAAATTCAAACCACTTCAATGATGCATGCTCCTAGGTAGCAAAAAAGTTTCATTTAAGTTTTAGCAGAGAAATCTGAAAAGCATAGACTGAAAAATTCCACTAAAATCCACAGCTACTCAGATTCTGTATTCTCTCTCAGGATATAATTTACCCTCTTTGCAAATAATTCAAATTAAAGTAAATAAAATGGAGGTGTGTGTTTTCTTCCCAAGTCTAACAGAATTGTCTCTTGCAAATCTATTTAACTGCAACAGCAACTCCATATCAAAGAATAGATGCTTTACAGAAACCAGATTACTCTCAGACGGTTCAATATAGAACATAAACATCAACATGTTCTGTGTGCTATTTCTATGCTTTATAGGCACTATGACTTTAATACTCCAATTATGAACATCATAATAAATCCCAATTAGAAGAGGCTTTAAAAATGTCATTCAGGGCCGGCCCGGTGGCGCACTGGATAAGTGCGCCGCTTGGGAAGCGCAGCGGCGCTCCCGCCCGAGGGTTCGGATCCCACATACAGACCGGTTCCCGCTCGCTGGCTGAGCGAGGCGCGGGAGCAACACCGAGGGTTGCAATCCCGTTGCCGGTCCCTGGTCCGGTACAGGGGCAACACTGAGGGTTGCGATCCGTTGCCAGACACGGAAAAAGACAAAAAAGACAAAAAAAAAAAAAATGTCATTCAATGGAAATCAAGATATCGCATTATCTTTCAATTTACTTTTTAAATGTATAAATGTGGAGTTTTACTCTCTGGTTTAGACATAAAAGTATTCTATATAGCCTATCTTCCACTAAGTTTATCCTCAACTTGATTACTTACTCATGTTCAGCGACATCTGGTAGATAAGCAGCATTCTCTTGAGATGGATGGGCCATAAGAACAACATCAAGATTTTTAAAAGCCCCCGCTTCAATTAAGTCAATTTTGCCACCACCATCTTCTTCTGCAGGGGTTCCCAGGACAATTACCTAAAAGGAAATACCCATGTCAGAGTAAAACTAAAAATCCTTAGTAGGAAAATATCAAACAGGTTCTCTTGCATATGTACTCACAATCTACATTCAAGTCCTCAAACTATGGAGAGAGGTTTTGTTCTCTGACACTAATGCAGTGGGCATAAATATATGGTTCTAATTTAACCACAAAATGTAATTTACATTGTTATAACAATTTGGTGCAAAGTATGTACTACGTTCTCTGACACTAATGCAGTGGGCATAAATATATGGTGCTAATTTAACCACAAAATGTAATTTACATTGTTATAACAATTTGGTGCAAAGTATGTACTACAGACATTACAGGAAGTTTTCCCAATTTTATATAACTAATGGCACTGATTAAAAAAAAAGTTAAATACTAGTTCCTTAAAATTTGTTAAGATGTATTTCTTAAAGCTTCTTGACTAAGCCTTTTAGTACACGTACATAATTATTCATAAGCACTTTTCTAATACGGAACTTTCCAGTGACTTACTAGTTATCCTCACAACACCCCTGTAAGGTAGGTGAGCCATCTGGGTCATCATTTTAGGGAGGGTGATTTTGAAGTACAGAGTGAAGTAGAGTGTCCTCCTGCCGCAGGTCACAGACAAGTCTTCAGACAGGGCTGGGATTAAATATCCTGACCTTAAAGCCTGAATTCTAATTCCTTACTGAGCTATCTAGTTAAAAAGTCTTAACTTATTAATTCCTTATGAAGAACATTAAACAAAGCTTAACACCATGGTTAGAAACGGCCACTATTACACAAACTTACTAATTCGATTCCACCAGTTCAACCAGGCAGATTTATTGGTCACCAAACACCTAATTAAACAAAAGAGAACTTTACAGAATAAACATTTTACTTTGATATTTAAGCTTAACTTCTTCAAACAATTTTAAAAAGCAAAGAAAAATTATCTATAAACAACTAATACACTTTTAAACATCACGTATAAAGATACAATGAAACAAGGTGGAAAAAATTCTTGGCTTGCAAAGGAAAATCAACTTAAATTCCATTTTCAGGTAAGACAGATAACCTTGCTAAAACTGAGAACAACCGTTTGAAATTAGAAGTCTGTACCTTTCCTAAAATCTAGCTTTCTTTACAAGTTATAAAGCATCCAAACTCTTAAATTAGGCTGCACTTTACTCTTAACCCTTGACTCATTAACTATGACATGTCCGTTGCTGACTACTCAGAACCTTTCATAAACCTTGTTAACGTTAAATCTCTCCAGTGTTTCATGCAATGGCAGAGGACACCCCCTCCTCCCCCAACCAAAGCAAAAACCTAACCAAATACAAAAACAAGCCCAAAGAGGCAAAAAAGACAGCTAAAGAGAAGCCACAAAAGATGAAAACGTTAGGATAAAAGAGGAAGGTTACTGGCATTAGAAAAAATGGGCTAAAAAAAATATGAAAATAAAACATTTGTTTTCCCCTTAACCTGAATGATGATTGAATCTTAGCTCACAGAATGTAGAATACACAACCTGGAAAGACAGTAATACAAGATTAAACTTGCTCTATGACAAACATAAACGAATTTCCCCATTTAAAGAATCCAGATATTTCTTAAAATCATGAAATGAAAATTAAAGGATGAACTCATCTATGCAGTAAATGTTCATTCGCTTCCCCATTACCTGTATTTGTATACTTCTAGAGGTCTCGTGGTTCTAACCACCAAAAAATTCCTATCCAAATACCACTGATTCGAGCCACAACAGCTCCCATATCTGAAACAAAAGATTTTCTGGGACCTAATAAAGAGGGGCTGCAGGTTTCCCTACAAAAATGACTTCCTCCAGAGATTGCACAACCTTGTCAACAAACTGAAGTCGCCTCTCAGTTACCAAAAATAACCCGTAACGAAAACCAGGCTAGGTTCTAAGTTCTTTCTTGAGGGACAGCCTACTGGGTTGTTTACAAAGAGAGAAGAGAAAACAAAAATCTGCAAAACGTCGCTAGGTCAGCAACACGTGAACTCCTCCTGACTTATTCGCCGGCTCTGTCCTACTTTTTGGCAAAGGCGAGGGCTGCACGTTGAGAACCATCCCCTACACCTGTCCAGGGGCGGGAGGGGACGGAGGCGCACGGGATGCCCAGGGGTCCTGGCACTCCCCGGTCACCCTCAGCCAGGGCTGTCGGATGCAGTCCCGCGCCCGGGGCCCCCCTCACCTTCACGGGCGGAGGCGGCCCGGGGAGGCTCTCCAGGGCCCCCTTTACGCCCAGCGCGGCCGCCGCCCCGACCTCGGCGATGAGGTTGTGGCCGCAGGCGTGGCCGATGCCCGGCAGCGCGTCGTACTCGCACAGAAAGCACAGGTGCAGCGGCCGCCGCGTGGCGCTCGGTTCCTGGACCCCCGCAGGCTCCCACTCGGCGCGGAAGGCCGTGGGCAGCTGGTAGTGCGGCTGCACCGCCCAGGAAGCGGCCGGCGACTCCCTTTCGAAGAAGCTCGTCAGCACCCGGTGGGCATGGTGCTCCTCGTAGGCCAGCTCCGGCTCGCTCCAGATGGCGCGGCTCAAGGCCCCCAGCCGCTCGGCCGCCTCATCAATGCGCTCCGCCGCGCGCAGCTTCAGCAGCTCCAGCTCGGAGACGCCACCGCATGCGCCCCCCTCCACGGGCCGCTGCTCTCCGGGTCTCATCGCGCCCACAGCCGGTTACCCTCCGCGCTCCGCTCGGTCACCCCCTGTCTCCCTCGCCGGCTGCAGCCCCCCACGCCTGCGCACGCGCCCGGCGGCTGCAAGAACCCGAATCTATATTCTCATTGACTTAAAATAACACCAAAAAGATAAAAAGAATAGTTCTTTGGTGAATGGAAAAAAAGCAATAGGATATTTGCATTCAATTACAAACAAAACCAAGTTATTATGGCTCAATTAAAGAATTAACTGATGATTGTCTTTGTCTAAGCATGCTTTAAAAGAACCGTGTTTGTGAGTTCCTCTGCTGAAAGCTAATTTGGCCTCTATGAGCTGTATTAACACAATAAAATATTATGAAGGTAGCAAGGATTGCAGAGTATGAGGAAGGCAACAAAACTTGGTCCTGGAGCATAAATGCAGCGTTTGGACCGCCTGCACATAGTTGAGTCTAGCCCTCTG